CCTTTAGCAGCTGTCCACTGCTGTTTTCCTAGTATGAATAGGGGTTGAAGAGGCGCTCTTCCTGGGTGATAACAATGCAGGCCAGCCGGTCGCATCACAGATTTCGGAGCTCTGGGCTCTGCCTGTTATCCGTCCTCCCAAATCCCATGGAAGTGATTTACTCTTAGGCTTTGCACCCAGAGAGTTCCAGGGAGGACTATCACTTGTAGATTTATTACCCGGTACACAGCCCTCCTGTTCCTTGGAATCCTTGTAGCTGCTAACTAGCTGTGAGTTAGCATACCCTTCTCCATTACTTTGCAACACTGGTAAAGTCGTGTCATTCCCACGACATAGTCCATTCACTTCCACGTTAACTTCCAACCGTTGCATTTTCATTTCCAACACAGCCATCTTCTGTATAAGTTTCTGGAAGTCATCTGTAGAGAACGGAGGCATTTTGCTACCAACTAGCTTAAGCTAAATAGCAGTAGCCTACCAGGCTTTAGCTGTTGCTAGGCCACGCTATTGTAAGACTGACGTTGTCGTAAAAATGTTGAAATATGGCTGAAACCCTCCGTCTATTTACGAAGATGAACTGTCCCAGTGATAAGTTAATGTCCAGGAGCCGCTGCTCGAAGTTTTCAGAGAATAAGAATAGGAAAATCAGCATAAAAGTAAGCAGAGGCAAGAGCAAGCAGAAAAGCGTCTGCACTGTAAGAAAGATAAGGAGCAGTATGGTGTCCTATATTTTACCCCAGCTGTTTAAGGTTTCGTTTCAGGTCCTGCTTCAGGTCCTGATTCAGGTCCCCTGATTCAGGTCCTGATTCAGGTCCTGCTTCAGGTCCTGATTCAGGTCCTGATTCAGGTCCTGATTCAGGTCCTGGTTCAGGTCCTGATTCAGGTCCTGGTTCAGGTCCTGATTCAGGTCCTGGTTCAGGTCCTGATTCAGGTCCTGATTCAGGTCCTGGTTCAGGTCCTGATTCAGGTCCTGATTCAGGTCCTGGTTCAGGTCCTGATTCAGGTCCTGGTTCAGGTCCTGCTTCAGGTCCTGCTTCAGGTCCTGCTTCAGGTCCTGCTTCAGGTCCTGATTCAGGTCCTGCTTCAGGTCCTGATTCAGGTCCTGATTCAGGTCCTGATTCAGGTCCTGCTTCAGGTCCTGCTTCAGTTACTCTAGGGTCTGTTTTCAGAAGGCTCAGAGAGACTGTTACTGCCACTCTTGTACCTTCCCTAAAGGCCCAGGGATTTGAACTGGAAACCTTCCACACATCAACCTGACTGTAGACTATTGTCAGGGGTTAAATTATAATAATAATATTGTGGGGAAAATATTGTAAAAAAGAGTATACTAATGGCGCGTTTCCATTGCAGCGCGGAGCTCGCTTTAAGCGTGCCGAGAAGTGCGGGGCCCGTTTTTGGTTGCGTTTCCACTTGGCCTAGTACCGGCTAGCGGGTCCTAATTCACAGTTTTTCTGGCCCCATAAAATCGTGGTTCTAGGGCTGAGTATGCTAAACTAGACCTAACTAACCCTTCAACTTCAACATTCATACTTTCACTCAGAAACCTCATTCCAACTTTAAAATGTTACACATCTTGCTGACATTATTTGTGTAAAACAACTTTTAAATCTGATTCTTACTTTTAGAGATATTAAACATTGTTCAGACCTTGTTTTAGAGGTTTTCTTCACATTTTAACATTAAGTGTGTGATGTCACAGCTAGAGGGTAGAAAATCTTGAAATGTGCCTTCATATATTTTTTTAAAACTGCCATAATTCCCAAACCCTACATTCCTGAGACATAATTTATCATGACAAACGTAGGAAAACATCTCGTAGCTTGAAAATAGACAAATAATTAAGCAAACTAATTAAACAAAATGCCTCTTGAGGGCATAAAGTGACAAAAACTTTCAACATGCCTCCATTAAAGCCCATTGTAATTTCAGGCTGATATTTCCTCACGGCAGCAGCCGTGAGGAAATAACCTTTAGTTATACTGCCAAAAAGGCCACATTATTAACCCGAAACTACACAAAAATTACACTTCAGATACTCAACTTCCTTGACATGCTTCACGCTTTGAAATTTCACAGATATCTGTTACGGTTCTTCCACAAAACGTTCACATGTAAGAGGTTCATCTCTCATTCAGAACAATGCAAACCTTTGATCTCTACAGAGCTCGTTAGCTCAACACCTGTGTAATGGACACGATGATGTAATCGCTCCAACATGCTCAGAGCAGCAGACTTCAGGTAGCAGTGTGCTAACAGTCCAGCCGTGAAGACATCCAAGGGACAGTTTGGAGATTTCTCCAAATGCCGTTGCCATGGCAACACAATGCTCGCCTTGAAACACGGTTTTCTCATAACTTCAGTGAAAATACTCCAAACAGCCCAGAACTTCACAGGTTTGGTAACGATGCAGCCATCAACGCATCTAAGCGTAGTATGGGGTGTCATCAAATGTCGTTGCCATGGCGACAGATCATTCGCCATCAAGTTAGTTCAAAAGTTTGCAGTTCAAATATTCTGCTGCTTTTCCAAGCCTTTTTACTTTCTTTTCTTCTCTCATCACACATTCAAGCCCCCAGTGTTCACGTATCATTTCAATCTAAATTCTTCACTTTCTTCTTACACATTACATTTCAGCATAGCAGTTTAGCATCAGCTTTTCAGCATAACGCATTCCCACTAGCAATTTCTTCAGGAATTGCATTCTTTAGTTATTGTGAAAATCTGAAGAAAACCTCTTTAACAAGGTCTGAACAATGTTTATTGCTTATTGTAAGTCGCTTTGGATAAAAGCGTCAGCTAAATGCAATGTAATGTAATGTAATGTTTAATATCTCTGAGAGTAAGAGTCAGATTTAAAAGTTGTTTTACACGAATAATGTCAGAAAGATGTGTAACATTTTAAAGTTGGAATGAGGTTTTTGAGTGAAAGTATGAAGGAACAGTTAGCAGTTGAAGTCGCATGAAGATTTTGAAGATTTTTCAAGTCTGAAGATTTTCTCCATTGACTTCAATGTTAAAAATGTGATGAATTATGGGATGTATCTCTGGAATTATGAAAGTTATGAATGAGAAAAGTAATAGCCATCGATTCCCGACCGAGCTGAACGTTTTGATGTTTGAACAGAGTTTCTGCGATGTTCAATGCGGGAGGAGAAGAGGGCCAACATTTCGGCGGAATAATAAACTTTTCGTCCGTAGAATAACAGATAGCATTCCCACTAAATCAAGAGTCATAATCTAAAGGCTGCTACGGAGTTCTATCCCGGTGTACAGGGCACTGATAGTAGTTCTTGGTATTAATCAGAAGAAGTAGATGGACCTTTATCAGTTTGCACTCTGTCATACACGCACATGCGTTTTATACAGGGACATACAGTACACACAGTAGACACTTTTTACAAATACACACACAGTTACACATGTACATGCAGTTGAGAGGTCAGAGCGGAGGCAGCCAGTCTAGCCGGCGCCAGTGAGCAGTTGGGGGTTCGATGCCTTGCTCAAGGACACTTCGATAGTGGCCCAGGAGGTGAACTGGCTCCTCTCCAGTCCACACTCCGTATTTGTTGGTCCGATTGGGACGTGAACTGGCGACATCTTTTTGGTTATTATCGTTTGAAATGATGTTTACTTTTCTTTAGCAAAATTGTTAGAATTTGGAAATTGAAAATGGCACAACGATGGATTTTTGAAAAGGTGTGTATATTGTAAGATGTAAATGACATCCCTCAGCACAGAGCCCCCAGACATAAAACAAAACCTTGGCTATTACAGTCCTATTGAATCTAAAGCACTTGTTAACAAACAACTGCAAAGGGGAAAAGTGTATAATTGGCAAAACAGATGTACTCCTCTGCAACAGCAAACAATGTCAAACGATACTTTCCCCAGAAAAACTCCACTTAACTGGCATCTTGATGTGTGTCCATTTCTCCTGCTGATGGATGGGGAGCAGTTAATGCTGTGGGCCTGGAGCGGAGGGGGGGGGGGGGCAGTGACCTCCATCAGCACCAACAATCAGATACAGCACACATCTGATCATTTCTCCGACAACCCTGCTTGCAAAACAGCATTAAAAAAGACTCAGACGGGGCTCGGCCCGGCGAATAACCCCCTCCCCCTCTGTGAGAGATAAGAGTTCTTAGAGGGTCCCTCACCCACATGTGAGGAAGCTGGGAGTGCGATCGCATCAGAGGGCGATACAGACGCTGACAAACGAGGATTTAATTGCAAGATGTTTTTTTCTTTTTTTCTTTACCCTCTTCTTTTTTTTTAGGGCAGTGGTGTTGCCATGGTGACGATGCTACACGACAGATGCTGGTGTTCATTTTATAAATGTTCCCTTTTGAATTATTAGTGGGCAAACAAAACACAATATAACTGTTATTAGCCACATGGTTAGTCATACAATATGTATCCATTCAAAGTGTGTGTGTTTTACTCACATCAATCTGTTTGCATATTGTGGCATAATCGGCTTCCCTTTTGGGGACAACACGTAAGCTACCGTAACATAAATAATGACATTTTAGGGTGAATATTTATATTTAACTTGAATTTAGGGTTAGCTCGCATTGCTACATTTCTTTTAGAAAGTCAAATTTAAAGTGTGTGAGCCTAGTTAACTTTTAATACACAACTACCGTACACAATTTGCCTTTCAACAAATTGGAGAAACTAAATTGAACAAAATAGCCTGTTTGCTAATTTGCTGAATCCACTTTGGACTGCAGTGGCACAGACATGCCACGGAAGTAACACAATGTTGACTCGAGGCAAATTCAGGACTGAAAAGAATATACGGAAATATGAGTTCTCATAGGAACGAATAAAGTTCAGGTTGACTCGCGCTGAGCTTGTGAAAATGAGTCTTAAGTCTCCAGCGTAATGTTCTCTAAAGTGATGGAAACGTGTGTGTGTGTGTGTGTGTGTGTGTGTGTGTGTGTGTGTGTGTGTGTGTGTGTGTGTGTGTGTGTGTGTGTGTGTGTGTGTGTGTGTAGGGCCAGCTATTACAGGAAGGGGGGGCGGGCCATGCTGCCAGTCAAGTGGATGCCGCCTGAAGCCTTCATGGAGGGCATCTTCACGTCTAAAACAGACACGTGGTGAGTCCCTCACACTTCTCTCTCATAGCTCTCACTCCTATATCTCACATACTTCCTGTTTCACCTTCCTCTGTCCTTCAACACTTCTGATCCTGTGCCATATGTTAAATTCTCCATCTTGTCTCTATCTCAGTCTTGTCCTCTGCGCTCATCCTTTACAGCTCTGAAGATGCTTTTAATGTATGACTTGCTTGTCCTGAGATCCCCCCCCCCCCCTCTCTCTCCCCCTCCCTGTGATTGATGTGTCCTCTTTTTACCTGCAGGTCCTTCGGGGTTCTGCTGTGGGAGATCTTCTCATTGGGCTACATGCCGTATCCAAGTCGCAGTAACCAGGAAGTGTTGGAGTTTGTGACCAATGGCGGAAGAATGGACCCACCCAAAAACTGCCCTGGGCCTGTGTAAGAGCTGATCTGAATTCATTCAAGTGCTTCACATGCCTGCAGGGGAAATGTGATCCCACGAGGTCCAATTAAACTCCTCCAAAACATAAACAAGCTAGAAGGAAGCTCAGTCGCACATAAAGCATACGTAGTGTGATCACTGGAGGCCAAATCATATGGAATGATCACGATACTTAAGTCAAAATACCATATGTTTGCCATTTAAAGCAACGTGGCATATCATGACTATTGCGATAAAACAAAACAAAAATGCTAACAGTACAATTTTACATTTAATTTTTATTGTTTGAGATCTGATTTCTTTCTCCAAAAACACCATCTTAATGTTGACCAACTTCCAGCCAATCCTGTTGATGTCATCCGAAAAAATGTAACGCCATCTAGTGGACAGAAAAAGCAAGGAATTGAATTAGAATTTGCAATAGTAATGATTTATTTAATAAAAGATTGATTGTGGAAGCTGTGTATCAATACAACATTGTGAGGCAAATATCACGATGCTGTATTGATCCCTAACCCTACACGGTATAAGAAATGAAAATGAAAACATAGAGGCAGACATGAAAGGCTCAGATGTTTTGCTGATATTCACACGTAAACAAGTCGTGACCTAGGAGGCATGAGAAAATAAGATGAGATGACTTTCAATATGGAAACCACATCAACACTTCTCTTTCATGTTGCTTCCCACTTTGGAAGAAGTGCCGGGTAGCTGATAGAGAGCTTTAAAAAATATTTTGATATCAGACTGTATTTTTCACTTCAGACGCCGCCTCGCTGCCAACTCTATTATAAAAGCTATACGGGCAGATGCACACACACATTTCCTGGCTCTCTAATATACGTATTGGAGCCACACTTTAGCCTCTCTGTGATTTCTCAGCTTTTCCTTCATACCTGCAGCTTTCCAGATCTCCTTATATCCTGGTGCAATCTGCCTTTTCAGTTCCATGAAAATGTTTCTTAGTTATTTGTTCACTTCTCTGATTAGTATGTTCCAGGGTTAGTTTATCTTCTTCTCTGCATCTGCAAAGATTGTATTTCAATTGTATTTTCAGCATGTGTTCTTGTCCCTGTGTGTTTCTTCAGATACCGCATAATGACTCAGAGCTGGCAGCATCAGCCTGAAGACAGGCCCAACTTCTCCACCATCCTGGAGAGAATAGACTACTGCCTGCAGGTAACCAATCAGAGCACTGTGGGATTTCTATTGGGGTTTTCTGTCTTTACGTATTACTCCAAGCCTGTATCGGATTTCTGTCAAGGATAACCCAAGATAGGTGCTTAAGGAGCTTCATCAAAACATGTTTCTGAATTCAAAGATTACTTGTTGTTAATCTATTTAGTGTTATTGATCAATCTTACCCCACTTTGGGAGTCACAATTACATTGAACATATAACATATCAGCTGTATAGGAGTCTACCTACCTTATGATAAGCTCCTGTTTCAGAGGGAGAACACTAAAGAGCCCCCACATGCTGCTTTACAGTTCAACAGTCCACCAGCTAACTGGAACTACTGAGCTAACTAGCTAGCTAGGTGTTAATGACCTGTCTGAAGAAGATGTCATGCATCTTGAAATGTTGCTTTTTTAGGACAATAAAAAGACGCGGTTCACTTTCTCTCTATTCAACACCTGAAATGTATTCAGAGTGGTGTATCACATGTGAGACTTTGAGCCTGGGTAAATACAGCAGCTATAGGCAAAATAAGAAGAGTGATAGTTCACCAGCAGCACACTGACGCTTTATTATTATTGATACTTTCTCACCTTAACCTCTGATATCCCCCTCTTTAGGACCCTGACGTGGTGACCATGCCGCTGCCTGTAGAGTATGGACCTGTCCCAGAAGAGGAGGAGCGGGACCCCTCGGCTCCGACGGTACTGGTGAACGCCCCGGTGCATGATGGGGAGGTCCAGCAGCCCCCCCCCTCCTATCCTACAGGAGACCCCCTGAGACGGGGGGAGCACAGCGCGGAGACGAGCGCAGCATTGGAGGCTAAAGCACAGACGTCGCCCCCCCCCTACCTCCACCAGCAGCCTCACACGCAGATCGCCATGACAACCAGCAACACGGTCACCCTCCCCAGCCGCCTCTACGCTCACTGCCAAGGGCCCGCACATCCCCCCCCAGCACGGCCCTGAGGGGGGGCACATCAACCTGGCGTTCATCCAGGGTCAGCCGCAGGAGAAGGAGGGCCCCAACGGGAAGAGCACCACCCTGTGGAACCCCACCTACGGGTCCTGGTTCCTGCAGCAGAGGAAGCAGCAGCAGCAGCAGCAGCAGAGGCAGGGGGGTGTGGGGGCTGCAGGAGAGGGCAGCGGCAGGGTCCCGGGGGAGGGGCAGGAGCATGTGGGCCGGACCGTGGCTGAGGTGGCGGGGGCCCTGGGGCTGCAGCACCAGCAGCAGCTCCAGCAACAGCACCAGCAGCAGCTCCACCAGCAGCAGCTCCAGCAGCACCACCTGCAGATGCTGCACCACCAGCAGCAGCAGCAGCAGCAGGGTCTCTGCAGGCCTCTGCTGCCCCCGCCCCCCCCCTCCCGCTGCCCAGTCCCCTCTGCTCTTAGATTCGGCCGCGCTGCCCCCGGTCCCCCTCTACAGACTGAGGCGGTTCCCCTGTGGGAACATCGGCTACGGCTACCAGGAGCAGGGCCTGCCGCTGGAGGCCGTGCACCCCAACCCCCCTGCGGCCCCCCCAGCCCCAGCAGGGCCTCTCCATGGCCTCCGCCCACCAGAGGGGGGCTTCAGTGACCCTGGGTCGCTCGGGTTTGTCCGAGGACAGCCGTCCGCTCCTGGTTACCATGGGGACAGTACAGGACCCCCGGCTGCCCAGGATGGAGGGCCACAACGCCACCGTGCTTTAGCCCACATGCCTGTACTCTTTTTCCACACTGTACAGACAGAGACCCTTTTACACCCCCTACCGTCCCACCATGTTGGTTCCTCCCTCCAGGCGTGGCTGAGCATCTGGATGGAGCCTCAGAACCTAGAGCTGTGTTCAGATCCCACTCGGATGCTAAGCACAGCAGAGAAATAGAAACAAAAGCTTTGGGATGCAGAATGTAGAGCAAATGCTAGTTTTAAGAATTCAAAAAATGTATTTTTTCAATGCTGGAGGGATCATGACTGAGTGAGACACACATGGAGAACTTTCCATCTGAGAGAGAGCAGGAGCTCATGTGTTCATCAGAGGATGTCTCTTTGCTGTGAGAATGGATTATTAGGAGGGTTCAAATCTCTATATTTTGCCAAACTTCAAACTTTCAGTCAGACTTTAGTGACCGGTCTGACTGAAGCAGTGTTGTCTCCAGCTGCAGCAACCCGTGCCCCCCCTCACACTGACCCCCCCCTCACACTGACCCCTACCACACGCTTTTGGAGAACAGCAGTGTGCTCAATAACTCGTATCAGACTATTTTTCAAGGATCAGACTCTGGATTACCAGACATTTATACGAAAAAGAAAACTACTGGGGAAAAATGTGTTTGTTGGTGTTTGCTTGCCTGCTTGTTTATTTATTCATTTGTTTATTTATTATTTGGAAGTGGCTCTATAAATTATTCATAAACAGGCTTTCCTCAAATCCAAACAAATTCATTTTACATCGACTGGTTTTCACTTTAAAACCCAGGGATATCTTTTTGGAAAAAAGAGAAAAGGAGAGATTGAACAGAAACACATCAACCCTAAATGTCCTAAACGCTGTGTAATGACTGCTGAGTCACGACCATAGACTGTATAAGACTGGAGAGTATGCCGCTTGGTCGCGACCTCATTCAGGAGCAGACGGATAAACACAAACACAGCGACAGAAGAACACGGCAGATTATAGAGGAGCCGCATTCAGACACATTAAAGAGTTCACCTTTGGACTTCTGGAACACACTCTGCTTTTGTTCACAAGTTGCTTTGGTTGATAGAGTGCTCTGAGACCGTTGTCTTTTCTTATCGCTTTTTTTCAGTAACCTTTTATCAATTTCTTTCTTGTTACAAAAAAAAAAAAGTTTTCCCCTTTTGTGTCCAGATATAGAAACAAAGTGGATATCGCTGAATCAATCTTAACCTTCAAATTGCCATCTCAAAGCACTCTACGTCTCGACATTTGCATATTTTCATCTTTTCTATCACAGGATGGCTGTTGTGGAATACAAATGAGTCTGAGTGAAACGTTTGGATACAAACTGCTACTGCTCCACATGTGACTGAACGCTGAGACCCCCGAGTCTCACTTCCACACACGGTGTCTGTGTTTAAAGTCTACCTTCAGTTGAATCACCGTTCCATACAGTATCTATGTGACAGCACCATGTGTTGATGTCTCGCTAAACGACATGCGTCACGTATTTGGCCTCCTGTCAGTGTACTGTGAAGCTGAGCAGCCGTGTGTCCGTCATGGCGCTGGTGACGGTTCGAGATAAAAGCATTCCTGTAGGCCGAGGTGAATCTTGGCCAATGAAAAGTATTGTTTGTTTCGTCTTCTGTGCATTCATTGTGTTCCTTCACAGCTCATCTCCATTGTTTGATGTAAAGACAAACTGAATCCGCACCTGTAAATGTTGTAATTATAAAGTATTGTACTATGGCTCTGTTAAAAGCTGTCAATTGCCCTTCTGATGACATTCGCCAAAATGAATAAATTACTATATAATGACCGTTAGTCTGTGTGCACTCTTTAGGATCTGGGCCACATTCATTATAACGGAAGTGCGACTGCTGATTACATTCTTGAAACACAGCCATCAATCACAGTTTAGTGTAAAATTAGTAGTGTTTTTCTTCTTTAACTTTGATGTAATAGGGCTGTAAAATGCAACATCATTGATATTCTGACAGCAGTTGTTTAACCCTCCTGTTGTCTTCGGGTCAAATCTGACCAATTTACTACTTTCATCAATCAGAACTTTTTTGTTTTACATTCAATTGCATTAAGGCTTTATGATATCCTTCACAGTAGACATTTGAACATATACAATTGCTGATCACCACTTTCATTGAATTTTGGATGATTTAGTGAACTTTGATGGTGTTCCCGGTCAAAAATGACCACCATAAAGAAAAGGAATTAGTAACCATCCGGATCCGATTAAACACACACACAAACACCCACACACACACACATACTCTAGATGTGTTCAATCCATGGTCCAATCCCCCCATGTGAATCACACCTGGCAAACACACACAACAATGTGATACATTGTCCGCTCTTATGTGCCCATCCCCCCACATGGATCACACCTGGCAAACACAAACCCAGAACAATTTGATACATTGTCCGCTCTTATGTGCCCATCCCCCCACATGGATCACACGCAATACATGTTCAGTGTCTATTCTTTGTATATTTACTGCAGTTCTTCATGTATACCAGTAGTCTGATACAATATTTACAGTTTGAAAGGGTGTTAAATGACATTTGGTGATGATTAATGGTTTTTGTGTTAATGTAATAGCAGTTAAAACAGGACCGGTCAAATTTGACCGCCAACACCAAAGTAAGGGGGGGGAGAGAGAGACTAAGACAATAGGAGGGTTACAAGTTATTGGCAACACAAACAATTGTTGACATAAAGTGGTTTTGGTAAAAGCTATAGTGGTAATGGCGGGGGGTGACTCCTGTCCACCAGCTATTCAGAGTGGCATAATGCCTTTAAAATCACTAGCATTCATTATTTAGATCCATCCCACTCCTCAAAAAAAAAAATCAGATAATGGAAGGTGAAACAATAGTCTCCCTGACAGATGGCCTCGGTACAGTCTCTAGTGTATTATTTGACAGATTCCAGCTCCTTGAGCCAACATAGAGAAATCAGAATCAAGCGGCCATTAGTTATGGTCTGTATTTGTTACAAATGAGGCAGACCAGACTGTTTAATCAGGATGATTGTAGTCCTCCTGATTTTACACGTTACCATTAACCTCTGATATTGACCTCATGCCGCTCCTACAGGAGACAAAGCATCTGCTGGGTTTGATAATGAAGCGATCACAACATCAATCACCGGAACTTGCTTTTAGTGTTTACATATTGGGACGCGCCTCACAGTCATGCAGACCGTACATTTGACATCTCTGATAAAAAGATGTGTAAATGTATTTTCTCAGCGTGTCTCCCTTCATGGCTTCAGCTAGCTGTATGTGGTAGATTAAAACAGTTTGAGGCTCCTATGTAAGCTACCCATGTTGCACGGCAGATTTGATTTACTGCAGAGGAGCCTTCCTTTTCCTTTTCAATGTTTGACTCTATTGCCCCTTACAGGTAAAAGATAAGAAACAAACTATAATAAAAAAGAAGAAAAACACAGACAGAAAACAAATGTGATAAAAGCAAATCTACAGAGGCAGTGCAATGGCTCAATCAGTAGCCAACGTTCTGTGAGAGAGTACAGAAGAGAATGTGCGAACAAAAGGCCAAGAGGCGAGCACGTCTCTATAGACATTCATGAGGAGATCAAACAGGCTTAGAAAGATGGCCGACTGCTTTCCACTGACATTCAGCAAGTGTCGCCATCCCAGAATGATGTTTCCAGAGATTGCTCTCCTGCCTCGAATCCTCACACTGGAACCTGTTCAGACGACTGTAAACAACAGCTGCTCTGCTAGCTAGCTGCTCTGCTAGCTAGCTGCTCTGCTAGCTAGCTGCTCTGCTAGCTAGCTGCTCTGCTAGCTAGCTGCTCTGCTAGCTAGCTGCTCTGCTAGCTAGCTGCTCTGCTGGCTGTGGAATATCCACTCCCTCGCTGTATGGAACCTCAGTCACTGCAATAGATAGGCGAGGAGGACGATGACGTTTATAAAACACAAGTGAACACACTTCAGAAACATTCTGAAGTTGGGTTGATAAAGGATGAACTTCATCGTGGGAACAAAGATACATGCCTCGGTAGCCCCATGGCCAGGCTGTCCTAAGAGAGCTGGGGAATGAGTTTATCAGGTGGACGATGACTTTGAATGGAGATGGAGGATGTATTTCAAAAGAGGAGGAACATTTTCAGGAGAGGTGGACGATGTATTTTTATTAGAAGTATGCAATGTTTTTGATTAGAATCAGAAAAGGTTTTTTTTAAGATTAGACTATGTTTTTAACAAAGGTGGACAATATTCTTTAATTAAAGATGGACATTGTATTTTTTACAGGTGGATACTGATTTTGAAGAGAGATTAATGTAATAATAATTTTTTTTTAATTAGAATTAGACAACATTTTTAAAGAGAGATGGACGATTTTTAGAGAGGTGGAGTTAATGCAACTGCTTCCGTTCTTATTCGTTCACACACAGTGACGTCACGAGCTACCCACAATGCAACGCGCGCCATATATATATATTAGGGCTGTCAGTCGATTAAAATATTTAATCGCGATTAATCGCATGATTGTCCATAGTTAATCGCGATTAATCGCAAATTAATCGCACATTTTGTATCCGTTCTAAATGTACCTTAGAGGAATATTTTTCAAGTTTTTAATACTCTTATCAACATATGAGTGGACAAATATGCTTTATGCAAATGTTTATTATCATTTGAACAATGACAAATATCCTCATGAATATTAAACACAACAACCTCTGAACATTACAAATATTCGCCTCAATTCAACCTGGAACCTCTCATACAATAATACAATACAAAGTGTGTGTGTGTGTGTGTGTGTGTGTGTGTGTGTGTGTGTGTGTGTGTGTGTGTGTGTGTGTGTGTGTGTGTGTGTGTGTGTGTGTGTGTGTGTGTGTGTGTGTGTGTGTGTGTGTTCGTTGGAGCTATGTGCAACTCAAGGCATATGCTCGAACGGGAGCTGCCTGGACGCTGCAATCATGTTACGCGCACTATCTGTGCTGAGTGTGCTGACTTTTCATACAATGTCCCGCTGTCTGGCTTCCTGCATAAAGTCAAGTGCTCGGCGCAGTTGTCGACGAAATGTCGCTCCTCTGTTTTCATTTAAACAGCTCCTTATATTCGTTAGCGCAGCACCAGATGCTAACAACAACAATACACGTAAGGTCTCTCTCTCGTTCGAGCCACACATACACACACCCTCCCGGTCCTCCCGATGGCCAGTCGGTGCCTGCCGGTGAGCGTGGAAGTGTGGTCTGCCGCAAGCAGGCAGCAGGAGCGGGGCTGTCAGCATCAGCTTGCAGATGGTATTTTAAACTCGATGCGCTCTGAAACTACGGGGCAGCCGAGGAAAAAAATACACATGCGTTAATCGCGTTAAAATAATTAGTGGCGTTAATTTTTTTTTGCGTTAACGCGTTATTAACGCGACAGCCCTAATATATATATATATATAAATACGCCATTTTCCTGGAGGTGCAAATATAAACAGCTAGCTAACGTAGCCAGGCAGAGCGCACTAGGTTTTTTTTCTGAATTAACGACCGAAGAAATCGCTGCATGTCTTCGGATTACATCTCTGGACTTGAGGGGTGTGCTCTAGGTCGTTACCAGCGTAAACTAGAGCTGTGTGGGTTGTCGGATTGCCCTTACAGACTGCCTGCAGATGTATGGAAAAACGACCCTCGAAAGTGGCCTTCGTCGATTTTGGCTGCATCTACGTCTAATTTCTGGAAACACCAGGTGAATACCCACTTGTCACAATAATATTATCATGCCATTGCATATATGTGGTATTTTAGAGTTGACTAGATATTGATTAAGGCAATAGACTATGATATTCAGTACAGGAAGCTTAGCAACACCTAGACTCTGTACGGCTAAACCCTCGGCCTGCTTGCACCTCGCGTAAAATGGCGGATACCGGAAGTACGGTGTCGCCCTCGGCCCAATACTCGTATGTGTGTGTGAAAGAATCTGCGGGGAGAAAGCTGCTGATCTCCAGAAATAAAGTCTCAAGCTGCTGCACTGCAGATTAGTATGCTGGGGACGAGGAGGAGGAGAGGGAAAGATGAAACCCTGGATCATCTTTCTCACTGTAGCAGAGAAAAACATGGCCAGTGGTCATTGGAAGTGGTTTGAATTAGAGACTATTTAACATGCTTGTTTAGATTATAGAGAATATGTTATACTACATTTATTGTTTTCTTCCTTCTAATCATTGGAATAAGATAGTTATATACTCATTTAAAATCAATATTTCAGTCAAGCCATTACAGCTCACTTTGGTAAAGCAGTTAGGAGGATTATGTACAGTGAGCTGGTCATTATTGCACATAAGCCGTGACAGGGTGAATGGAGACCCCAGCAGGATTATCCCTGTATTGTAAACATGTTGGCGCTACACGTAGAGGTTTATGCAGCTGCCAGGATGTATTTGCTAGCGATAGCAAACTGTATTCCTCGGGCACCAGCTGTGTCTGTGCCGCTCTCCATCATGTCAGAAAGCACTGGAGTCTTCCTCTAAAGTCTCACTGAGATCATTTGTCTCCCATCGGGGATCTCCGCTCTCAGAGTGCTGATGATGCAGCTAAGCACTCAGCACACTGTGGTGCAATGTGTCTGAGCTTTGTTTCAACTTCACATCATTTATACCACCGATATCAAACCATTCTAATACAAGACTCAGGGTAGCCAAACAGAAAGAAGAGCAACACAGGGAAGTCTAACCAGTGGCGAACCGTCAGGGCCTTCAAGGTATTCAGAGAATACCCTGGAACACTCAGATAAAACAAACAAAAAATTGATTTAATTATATAAATA